AATTGCAATCCTTGGGTTGAGTATGCTAAAGGGAACAGGGCATTTGAATAATATAATAACAATGCTTTACATAGGAAATGAAAATCTAAGAAGAAATGTGACATTAATAATGGTGAGAGATGTTGCCCAAAACAGTCAAAGGATACAATGCAGACTGAGTGAATAATATCAATAAAACTTCAGGGGGGGAAAAATCAATATAATTATGGTTTAGGTCTGTGCGTCTACTACAGAGTTAGAAGATGAAGAAATTATATGATTCAATGCTAGAATCTATGAGGAAATTTATAATTCACTAAAATTGCACTATTTGTTAATCATAGGGCATTGGAATGCAGTAGGAGTAAAAAAAGAACATTATCAAAAATTGTAGGACAATTTGGCCTAGGGTCAAGAAATGGAGGAGAGTGACTAACTGGATTAAGGAATGCCAACACTTTGTTCATCACAGACATGCTTTAAGAGAGCAAATATGGCCAATATACAGTAGAAATCAAATAAGACACATAATTGGAAGTGGAAGATGGAGAAATAACAGTTACGAAGTAGCAACGAAAATAATGTTATGGTTGGGGGTCAACACAACATGAGGAACTAGATTAAGAGATTGCGCCCACATTTGAATACTGGTGAGGTTAGGGATAGTGTTTGTCATTTGGGAGTTGTAGTTGCTGGGATTTATAGTTGACCTACAATCAAAGAGCATTCTGAACTCCACCAACAATGGGATTGAACCAAACTTGGCACACAGAACTCCCATGACCAACAGAAAATACTGGAAGGGTTTGGTAGGCATTGACCTTGAGTTTGGGAGTTGTAGTTCACCTACATCCAGAGAGCACTGTGGACTCAAACAATGATGGATCTGGACCAAACTTGGCATGAATACTCAATATGCCCAAATGTGAACACTGGTGGAGTTTTGGGGGAAATAGACCTTGACATTTGGGAGTTGTAGTTGCTGGGATTTATAGTTCACCCACAATCAAAGAATATTCTGAACCTCACCAGTGACAGAATTGGTCCAAACTTCCCACAGAGAATGCCCATGAGCAACAGAAAATACTGTGTTTTCTGGTGGTCTTTGGCGACCCCTCTGGCACCCTCTCACGACCCCCTCAGGGTACCCGACCCCCAGGTCGAGAAACACTGCCGTAGACCATGAACCACCAATATCAGGAAATAGAAAAAAGCTAAAGAACAACAGAAAAAATGCCATGTCAAAATACAACCTGAAGAATATGATGTAAAAGCAGATTAAAGATTATGTTAAAAATCAGATTTGTATTATTAAATCTGATTGAAAGGTGTTGGACTGAAACCAGGCATTGTCGGGAGGGATGCAGAAAGACACTGCAGCCATAAAGAAAGAGAAGCCTCAGTGGGTGACAGATAAAACTCTTCATGCAATTAAGAACAGAAAACAAGTGACTTCTGCAAAGGGGAAAAGATCACTACTATAAGAATCAATACATAGAAATTGAAGATGACAAAAAAAAAGGAAGAACAAGAGATCTATTTCTCGCCATGTAAGAAGAAAATTTAAACCAAGAGTGGGAATGCTGTACGACCAACAGGGGAACTTGTAAATGACCAAGTAGAAATAAAAAGACAATAGAAAGCATACTCAGAGTACTATATAAAGATGACATGATGGCAGATTCATTCAAGGAAGAACCATTTGAAGATGAACTTCCAGTATTAGAAAGTGATATGGAAGCTGCACTAGAGAGAGGTAAATCACCAGGACTAGATTGCACCCCAATACATGGTTTCAAACTACAGAAACATAATCCGCTGTAGTTCTAACAAAAATCTGAAATTGGAAATGTCCCAAGAAAGGGGACACGAGGTATTGCAGTCACCATGTAGTGCTCAAAATTCTACACGACTGTAACTGCCATGGCTCATGGTTACTTGTAGTTTTCGAAGATCTTTAACCTTTTCTGCCAGGTTGCTGGTGCCTCACCAAACTACAAATCCCAGCATGCCATAGCATTGAGTTATAGCAGTTAAAGTAATGTCAAACTGTATTAATTCTACAGTGTTCATGTACCCAAAGATTTTTACCACATACCAAGTGAAAGGTCAATGACTAAGTTGGATTCGGAGAAGGAAGAGGCATTAGGGATCATATTGCAAACATGTTAGAGAAAGGACCACCATTTTGCTTCACTGACTGCCAGGCCATTTCCAGACAATTCAAAGTGCTGGTTTGGCCCTAAGTTCATAATAATGTTGATGGGGCACCTTTTATAGAGCCCACCCCCCTCCAAACATGGGTGACACTGCCCAGGCATGTAGCTGGGGGTGGGGGGCTTGAGAGACTGAATGCTGTAAAGTAAAAAAAAAAAGTAAAAAATATTCTAAACATTTAGTTAATGAAAGTAAATAAATAACATTTATTATTTAAACTTATGTTTATTCATATCATGATCTAATCACCATGCTCAATATATCCCATATGCATCGGGGTATTTACTTACTTAGGCAATCCCTAAGTGGTCCTCCAAGAGTAGTATCCTGGCAGTGGGTCCGTAGGTGACTACGGAGCTCTATTCTTGATCTGTATCTTCTCCCACAGTGAGGGCATCGGTTTCCAGATGGAAGGTGGTTCCTGTCGGGGTTGGCTTGACACACCTTCCTCTTGGCACGTTTCTCTTCCGCCCTCCATTCGTGTCTCCTCAAATTCTGCAGCACTGCTGGTCACAGCTGACCTCCAGCTGGAGCACTCAAGGGCAGGGCTTCCCAGTTCTCAGTGTCTATGTCACAGTTTTTAAGGTTGGCTTTGAGCCTGTCTTTCTTTTCCTGTCCTCTAACATTCCGTTTTCCGTTCTTGAGTTCGGAGTAGAGCAACTGCTTTGGGAGACTGTGCAACAGCATGGGGGTATTGGGATAAGATTGCAAAAGGTTTGCTAGGGTAGATCCTCTCTCACTCAGACTCAGCCCCCCCCCCCAAAAAAAAATCAAAATCCTGGCTATGGGACTGACTCTGCCCATGCTCCTGGGTGCCCCTAACTTCTCCAAGTGGCATCCAGGTGCAGGGGGGCGTGTGCAGGTAGGTGAAGAGATCTGCCCTTGCGCAATGCTAGTCTGCTGCTGAGTATGCATGCCCAGTGTGGAACACAACTCGCCATGCTAAAACAGTAGATGTAGCTCTTAGTGAGACATGTCGCATTATCACGAGGTGTCTGCACCCTACACCTCTGGAGAAATTACACTGTTTAGCCGGTATTGCACCACCTGATATCCGCCGGGAAGTAGCAACCAATAGTGAAAGGACCAAGGCAGTGACATCTCTGGCCCACCCCCGGTTTGGGTATCAGCCAGCACGTCAACGACTTAAATCAAGAAATAGTTTTCTAAGATCTACAGAGACACTCGCTGGAACACCTCAGCAAGCGAGAGTCCAAAAGTGGCAGGCTCAAACCCAGAATCTCAATCAATGGCTGATACCAAATGAGAGACTCCCCCCTGAGCACACAGAGGACTGAGTGACTTGGAAGGCGCTGAAACAGACTGCGCTCTGGCACCACGAGATGCAGAGCCAACCTTCAGAAATGGGGCTACAAAGTGGAATCCTCGACATGCGAGTACGGAGAGGAGCAAACCACTGACCACCTGCTGCAATGCAACCTGAGTCCTGCCACATGCACAATGGAGGACCTTCTTGCCGCAACACCAGAAGTAATACTGGTAGCCAGATCAAATGCTAATCAAGGTGGTCAGTTGAAACATTCACACCTAGCTCCAACAGACAAGAGTTCTCCTGGTCATTCCACAGATATATAAACCCTTTTTCCTAGTTCCAACAGACCTCACTACCTCTGAGGATTCTTGCCATAGATGCAGGCGAAACGTCAGGAGAGATTGCCTCTAGAACATGGCCATATAGTCCGAAAAAAACCTACAACAACCCAGACATTTAATCAGCTACCAAGCTTGCAAACTTTGTGCTTTATTTGTTTGTTAAAAAATGCAATACAACTGTTTGGTCTGCTCCTGACACGATAAATAAAATCTGGCCCCTCCCTCCAGGTCTCTTGGCTTTGACCACGCCTCCGCTCTGCTCTGGTTGGCGCTCCCCTTGCAGCCAAGTGAGTGACAGCTCGGGCACCGCCTCCTCCCAAGCAAGCCACGCCCCTTATTCCCACGGGGCGGGGTTAGCTGGAGGAGCAGCAACAGGAAGAAGGAGGAGGAGGAGGAGGAGGCGAGGATCTGTTCCAAAGGTGCGATTTTGCGCGCGGTGCATTTTGGGGTCAAAGAGGCAGAGGAGGGAGGGGGGCGCCTGGGAGATGAATAGGTGTCCAATTCTGGGCACCACAATTCAAGAGAGATATTGACAAGCTGGAATGTGTCCAGAGGAGGGCGACTAAAATGATCAAGGGTCTGGAGAACAAGCCCTATGAGGAGCGGCTTAAGGAGCTGGGCATGTTTAGCCTGAAGAAGAGAAGGCTGAGAGGAGATATGATAGCCATGTATAAATATGTGAGAGGAAGCCACAGGGAGGAGGGAGCAAGCTTGTTTTCTGCTCCCTTGGAGACTAGGATGCGGAACAATGGCTTCAAACTACAAGAGAGGAGATTCCATCTGAACATGAGGAAGAACTTCCTGACTGTGAGAGCCGTTCAGCAGTGGAACTCTCTGCCCCGGAGTGTGGTGGAGGCTCCTTCTTTGGAAGCTTTTAAACAGAAGCTGGATGGCCATCTGTCAGGGGTGATTTGAATGCAATATTCCTGCTTCTTGGCAGGGGGTTGGACTGGATGGCCCATGAGGTCTCTTCCAACTCTTTGATTCTAGGTGGGCGAAGAAGAGCCGGCATAGGGCTAGGCCTCCTTCTCTCGTTGCCAAATTAACTTCCGCCCTGCAGGTGTTTTGGACTTCAACTCCCACAATTCCTCGCAGCCGGGACACTGGCGGAGATTTCTGGGAGTTGAAGTCCAAAGCGCCTGAAGGGCTGAACTTCGCCCACGCCTGCTGTAAGGCGGGTGAGAGAGAGAGAGAGAAAGCCCGCGCCTCAGAGTGGGCTTCTCGGACGCTTCAGGAGAGGAAAGCCATGGGGAAACTCGGGCCTTGGAGGCGAGTGAGTGGGTGCTAGTCCTCTCAGTGGCCGCGGCCATGTTCTGGCTTTGACGCAGCCGCCCTCGAGAGTGAGAGAGAGAGAGGGGCGGAGCAGAAGCGCCAGGAAGAGCCCGCCCTCCGCTCCCTGGGCTCGGAAGAGGGAGGGAAGGAGGAGGAAGCCAGGCAGGGGCTGACAGGCGGACGGCGCAACAGGTAGGAGCAGAGAGAGGGGCTTCTCCCTCAGCCTTGGCGTTGGCCTCGAGGACTGCCAATTGGGGGGGAAGGGAGGCCTAGCTCCCCGAAGGAAGGCGCTGAGGGAGGGAGTGCGGCCACTGAAAGGAAGGCCCATGGGGTCGCCCTCAACTAGAGGGAGGGAGGGCTGTGCGGGGAGGCCCGCTTCCGAGGCAGAGCCGGGCCTCGCGTCCTCCCTCCCTCTCTCTCCCTTCCGCCTGCTGTCAGCCGTGGCGGCGCAGGTGCAGAGCGAGGCGGAGAGCGTTGCCATTTCCTCCTCCTCCTCCTCCTCCTCCTCCTCCCGGCCTGCCTGGGACTGGTTGGGGGGCGGGGGCGAGGAGAAAGAGGCCTTGGTGGACGGGCTGGATGGGGAGAAGGGGCTGCTGCTGCTGCTGATTATGATGATGATCTGCCCATCTGTCAAAGCGCCTGCTTGCCTCCTACAGGTAGTCCCCAAGTTACGAACAAGATAATCTATATAAATAAAAATGTAATGTTCGTTTGTGGGATTGACAGAACTCAAAAACCACTGGGGGAATTGACATCAAATTTGGACACAAGACACCTATCAGGCCAGTGAGTGACCATCACTCGTAAGAACACAGAGACTTAAAATGCCAAAAAACAAAAATTACATTACAACGCATGCGCAAAACCACACACATATATGCAAACTAGGCTTGGGCGGTTTCGTTCGTTAATTTCGTAATTCGTTATTAATTCGTATTTAAATTAGCTTACGATCCAATATTGAGCCATGCAGGAATAGTGTGAGGAGTAAATTAGATTCGAAACAATTTTTTCAATTTATTTCGTTATTATTTCAAAATTATTTCGTAATTATTTCATAATTATTATCGCATGTCTGGTGCAAGTTTTATAGTTATTGTTTGTTTTATCACACCAACAGTCAACAACAGAGGGAGAGGGAAGCTTCAGAAGTTCCCCCTGTCCCATTTGGAGGTTTTTTTAGCATATTGCGCAATTGTGTCTGCCATTAACAAATCGATTCGTAATTATACAAAATTTCATATATTTCGAAATTTTTAAAAGGAAAATTTTGGAATTCTTAAAAAAAATGAAATGTAATGGACCCCTAAAAATGAAGCGAGTTTAGAAACAAATTTTTCCGTTGTTACCCAGGCCTAATGCAAACACACACATACACAGACAGGGCCACAGCAACTCATGGCAGGGGACAGCTAGTAATAATAATAATAATAATAATAATAATAATAATAAACTTTAGAATCAAAGAGTTGGAAGAGACCTCATGGGCCATCTAGTCCAACCCCCTGCCAAGAAGCAGGATTATTATTATTATTATTTATTAACTTCATTTGTACCCTGCTAACATCTCCCGAAGGACTCAATGCGGCTTACAAAGGCCAAGGCCTCAATAAAACAACAACATAACAGATACACATAAACCATAAAGCAAATCAAAGCATTAAAACAATAACAGCAAACAGTAAAAACAGTACACATAACACAATAAAATAAATCACTCCTGACAGATGGCCATCCAGCCTCTGTTTAAAAGCTTCCAAAGAAGGAGCCTCCACCACACTCCGGGGCAGAGAGTTCCACTGCTGAATGGCTCTCACCGTCAGGAAGTTCTTCCTCATGTTCAGATGGAATCTCCTCTCTTGAACTTTGAAGCCATTGTTTCGCATCCTAGTCTCCAGGGAAGCAGAAAACAAGCTTGTGTCTCCTCCCTGTGTCTTCCTCTCACATATTTATACATGGCTATCATATCTCCTCTCAGCCTTCTCTTCTTCGGAATAAACATGCCCAGCTCCTTAAGCCACTCCTCATAGGGCTTGTTCTCCAGACCCTTTATCATTTTAGTCGCCCTCCTCTGGACACATTCCAGCTTGTCAATATCTCTCATGAATTGTGGTGCCCAGAATTGGACACAATTCTGGGCACCACTTTATAACTCGCCACCATCACCCAAAAGGGGACTGAGGGCAGCTAACATGAGGCCAAGCCCAAAATAATACAACATAATTAGACACAAAACAGCAAAAATACATCATAACAAAATAAATTTCATCCATGAGATGAAGGATGAAAAGAGGGGTAAAACCCCACAGTTCCTGAACATGTTTCTGTGGGAACTGTTGTTCCTTCTTGGTAATGAATGCAGGGCCAATTAAGAGTCAGGCAAACAAGGAGAATCTTGTGCAGTTGTAGGTAACAGAAGAGTAAAAAGAGGAGCTCTATAGTTTAATGCCATGAATTGCACTAGAACATAAAGGGGAAGGTTCATGAAGTTTCTGATTGTCAAAGCCAGCATCAAAATGTATAATTACTTGTCAAACCAGAAGTAGATTGTGGTCTGAGTTAATTAAATTACTGTGCTATCAGTATAGAAAATAATAATTAGCATTAGCAGAATAGTTTTATCTTAATGATCATGGAAGTCCTAGTGTACTGAAAGGAGATAAAAGGACCTCCTTGTCAGTGACATCCACATTTTTCTTACCATGGCTGTACCTGAAATAGGTGACTGTTGTGCAAACGGCTGCTGAACAGTGTATGGAAGAAGATACTGTCCAAGTTTTCACTTGAATGTAACTATTAATAGCTTCAAGGGTACGGGAAGCTCCTTGTCAGTGTTCAAAATGCAACTGTGCTGAAAAATTATCAAGAAACACACATTTTGAAACAAAACAGCGAAAACAAGGAATTTTCAATGTCACCTGAAACCGAGAAGCATAGAAATTAATTTTTGAAAAATGAAAGACAGTATTGCTAGTGTTCAAATGCTTTATAGTAAGCAAGCATGCCATATTACCCAAATTAGGAGGATATAAAGTCTTTTACAATGTAATGCTGTATATGTTTCTTTAGAAGTAGTTTACTCTGTACTCAGTGAGGCATATTATTTTATACATATTTAATGGGTAGTAAATGAAGGATTATAGTCTTTACTCTTATATACACATGTTGCTTTCCTTGCTCTTCTCCCCGTCCCTTTTTTCAGATCACATTCTCATTCTTTTTCCTCATTTCTATTCCTGTCCTTATCTTTATTTATACAGGTGTAGACATTTTAAGATCAGCAATAAATACTGTTTCTATATACACTCCTTATAATCTCTCAAATAAATATATCCTTTTCTTATTTTTAGCTCTTGCTAAGTATGTTGCTTTTATGCATTTTAAGATGTATTTGTTACACACCCCCAGGTCCAGCAGGTCATTGAATAAGCCATAATTTTGGCCCCCAAACCTGCCCTTGATTTATATTTGAGGTTGGTTTATACATACATATAAACTTGATATATTCTGCATAAATAGAGTAATCCTAACTGATTTAACGGAAGATAAATTGAGCAACATTGATTGCAAAATTTCACTCGTACGTGGTGTTTTTCATATCGGCTTGATATTACAATAGGACAACCACTCATCTCTGTCTTTTCAACTTCTATGAATTCATTTTCATTCTAAGTTGGCTTGTGAATCATTTATTCTTTGTATAGAATACTTTTTTTGCCTCATGCTGAACATTCTAGAAGAGATATAGAGTTGTAAAGAGTTGTACAGGGCATCAAATCCAGCCCCCTATGCAATGCATGGAACCTAGCTAGAAGACCTTAGCAGGTAGCTGCCCAGCTTCTTTTTGAAGATAGCCAGAGAAGGAAATCCCACCACCTTTCTGGGAAACTGGATCCATCCTCAAACACTCTTGCTACCCAGTGGTTCTCTCTAATGTTTAGTTGAAATGCACCCTCCATTCAACCTGATCCTAGGAGCAGAGAACAAACCTGCCCCGTCCTCTTTGTGACAGCCCTTCAGATATTTAAAGAGTGCAATCATGTTGCCCCTCAGTTATTTTTTTACCAAGCTGAATGTGCCCAGCTCCCTTAATCTTTATGTTTTGTTCTCTAGGCCTCATTGTTATTTTTATTGCCTTTCTCTGAACCTGCTACAACTTATTTATTTATTTATTTTGTTTACCACATTTGTATCACACCCTTCCCACCCCGAAGGGGACTCAGAGCAGCCTTACAAAAGACAACGATTCAATGCCACACAGATACATATCAATAAAACAAGCAAATACATTAAAACCCAAACAACTAAAACATTAAACATTAAAAATCACTAAAATCACGCAATCCAGATCATTGTCCAGGGCCGTTCCATTCATCATTGTATTAGTTTCGTAGTCACTTACTGCACTGCTCAAAGTTACTGACCAAAAGCTTGATCCTACAACTACATTTTTAGTTTTCTCCTGAAGGTCAGGAGGGAGGGGGCTGATCTAATTTTGCTGGAAAGGGGGTTCCATAGATGAGAGGCCACCACAGAGAAGTCCCTGTCTCTCGTCCTCACCAACCGTATCTGCGAAGGAGGTGGGACCGAGAGCAGGGCCTGCCCTGACAATCTTAACCTCTGTGGTGAATCATAGAGGGAGATACTTTTGGACAGGTAAGGTGGGCCGGGACCATTTTGGGCTTTATAGGCCAAAGCCAACACTTTGAATTGTGCTTGGTAGCAAATTTGTCTATATCCTTCTTACAATGAATGATGAGTGCAGAGTGTAGTGGAATAATTACTTCCCTTGACTTGAAAACTGATATTTGGGCCTCCAGCTCCCAGAAGCCCTAGCCAGCTTGTCCAGTGGTCAGAAATTCAACTCCAAAACACCTGGAGAGCAACAGATGGTGTACCACTTATTTAAATCATTGATAAAATATTGGAAGAGTGTTTCATGAGAGGGAAGCTCTATTTTGAAGTGCAGCCATTGATGGTAACCCTTTGAAAACAGTTTTCCAACCAGTTATGGATCTATCTATTCCACATTAAATCAGTTTGCTAATCAAAATATAATGAGGAGCTGAAGTTCAGATAAATGACATCAACAGCATTCAACCCATCTACTAAACTTTTGACCTGATTTAACCAAAAGATCTAAGCTTAGTTTGGCAGGATTTCTTCTTGACAAACCAGTGCTGGCTCCTATT